TCCTCCTCAGTCTCGAGCCTGCTAGCCTTCAGACTGGAAATGCACAACTAGCTCTCCTGGTTCACAGGCCTTTGGACTTGGATTGAACTATACCATTGGATCTCCTGGGTCTCCAGCTTGCTGACTGACTTGGGACTTGTCAGCCTCCATAATTGTGTTAAATATGAAAGCCAAATCTTTATAATAAATCTGATAAAGAGATCAATCTCCTATTTGTTCTGTTTTACTAGAGAATCCTGACTAATACAGAAAGCACAGAGGAAAAACAACAGCTGAAAAATGAGTGCTTCAATAACACATGACAGTATCAGGTGTCTTCATACAAGTAGAATTAAAGTCCCAGAAACAAATGATGAAGATTATGGACAAGAAAAAATATCTAAACAAATATTGTCCAAAAGTTCTCCTAATTTGATTAAAAATATAAACCACAGGTTCAGCGGGCACAGTAAAAGTTAGGCACAAAGAAACCACACCTAGGCATATCATAGTTAAACTGCTGAAAACCAAAGATAAAAAACAATTCTTAAAAACAAAGAAAAAGAATAGAATTCTGATTTGTGCTACAAAAATGGATGAACTTTGAAACCATTATGCTAAGTGAAATAAGCCAGACCTAAAAGGACAAATATTATATGATTCCACTTATAGGAACTACCTACAGAAGGCAAAGTTAAAGAGAAAGAAAGCAGAATAGAGGTTACCAGGGCCTGAAGAAAAGGGAGAATGAGTAGATACTATTTAATGAGTACAGAGTGTTCTTCCTGGGATGATAAAAAAGTTATGGAAATGCATAGTGGTGATGGTTATACAACACTGAATGTACTTATTAATACCACTGAATTATATACTTAAATATTGTTAAAATAGTAAATTTTGTGTTATATATTTTTTACAATAAAAAAAGTGCTGAAAGAAAAAAATTGACAAGTCTGTATCCAACAAGAAATTATCTTTTAAAAGACAAAATATTTTTTTTCAGATAATGAAAGCTGACTTTTTACCACCACATCTACCACATTATCAGAAATGCTTGTTCTAGGCTGAAGGGAATAAGACCAGAATGAAATTCACATCTATATATAAGAATGAAATACTAAGTTTGTGAGAAACTATGTAAAAGATTATTTTAGAATAAACCTGAGAAAGTCATTCTGAAAACTTCTGGACACTTGAAGGAGATAAAAACCTACCACAGATGCCCTCCCACCACCACAAAAGGTAATCAAGTTTAAAGCACATCATTAAGTACCAGTGTACAAACTAATCCTGGTTAAGGATTAGGCAAGTGACCAATATAGGACAGCATTTAAAATTTTCTAATCTAAATCATAGATAGAATTTCTCCTTCCAAAACAAACAATCCAATCATGAAATGGGCAAAAGACATGAACAGAAATTTCACAGAGGAAGACACAGACATGGCCAACAAACACATGAGAAAATGCTCCACATCACTTGCCATCAGGGAAATACAAATCAAAACCACAATGAGATACCACCTCACACCAGTGAGAATGGGGAAAATTAACAAGGCAGGAAACAACCAATGTTGGAGAGGATGTGGAGAAGGGGGAACCCTCTTGCAATATTGGTGGGAATGTGAACTGGTGCAGCCACTCTGGAAAACTGTGTGGAGGGTCCTCAAAGAGTTAAAAATAGATCTGCCCTATGACCCAACAATTGCACTGCTGGGGATTTACCCCAAAGATACAGATGCAGTGAAATGCCAGGACACCTGCACCCCGATGTTTCTAGCAGCAATGTCCACAATAGCCAAACTGTGGAAGGAGCCTCGGTGTCCATCGAAAGATGACTGGATAAAGAAGATGTGGTTTATGTATACAATGGAATATTCCTCAGCCATTAGAAATGACAAATACCACTATTTGCTTCGACGTGGAGGGACCTGCAGGGTATTGTGCTGAGTGAAATAAGTCAATCGGAAAAGGATAAACATTATATGGTCTCATTCATTTGGGGAATATAAAAATTAGTGAAAGGGAATAAAGGGAAAGGAGAGAAAATGAGTGAAAATATCAGTGAGGGTGACAAAACATGAGAGACACCTAACTGGGAAATGAACAAGGGGTAGTGGAAGGGGAAGTGGGCGGGGGGTTGGGGTGACTGGGTGATGGGCACTGAGGGGGGCACTTGGCGGGATGAGCACTGGGTGTTACGCTATATGTTGGCAAACTGAACTCCAATAAGAAAAAAAAAGAATTTCTCCTTCCAAATTCACAATATGTCAATACTATTCTTTTTTTGTAAAAAAAAATATGAACATAATCATTAAACTTTCAAATACCTTATTTATTCAGAGAACATTTATTGCTGGTCAGTTATATAAGGAATCCATGCATAACACAAATATACAGTTCTTATTTTAAGACTACTAATGTATAGTTGAAAATTATAATAATTTTCAGAAATTAGAAAGTAAATGGACAGTCACTGATTGAGTAGACGAAGATGAATCCTGATGCCTGATAGCCAAGACATCAGAAAGCAAACTAATCTCCACCGTAAACAAATTCCTGCCAAAGAAACACTAGAAGAGTTGAGAATAGAAGGCATTTGGTATTTCTGAAAGCCTGGGTGGGACTAAAAATAGGAGACTGGTGGAAAATGACAATAAGAAACATGTAGATGCCTAAATCCCCTCCTCATGCTCACAAAAAAATATGAGGTAAACTCTTCAGAGAGACTAAACCTATGGGCCCCAAATTAGTAGGCATCAGCACAGATGGGGGCAGGTATAATCAGGGCCTCTACTTTAAAACAGGGTTCTACATGAAAGTCTAAAATAGGAAAGGTGAGACCTCCAGCTCCTGCCCTTATTCTGTACCAGAATACTGGCTATATAGACCTGCCAGTCCTGGGAAAATTTCTCTCTCACTAATCCAAAAGGAAAACATAGATAGTTTTGTTGGAAAACACCTGGAAATTCCCTCAACAAAAAAACTTAATCATACCACCCCTCTTGAGGTCAACAGGACCTGACATACACACAAACCTTCCAAATTTTAAGTACCATATATATTCAAAAACAATTTTTAAGTAAAAAATAAAGTACCATACTCATGAATATGAAAACAGCAAGGGGTTACCAGATAGTTGGAAAAATTTGCTAACATGTATGAAACAAACAAAAAGAAATTAACAGTAGTAAAAAGAATAAAAAATTTTAAAAATTTTTAAAAAGAAATTAACAGTAGTGATAGGTAACAGCAGGTAACAAATTTTAAGCCACAATGATCCTAAGAGAGATGAGCGAAAATACCTAGTTCATAAAATAAGAACAGGACACTACATTTTAAAAGTATTAATAACTGGGGCACCTGGCTGACTTAGTCAATAAAGCATGCAACTCTTGATCTCAGGGTCACGATTTCAAGCCCCACGTTGGGTCTAGAGCTTACTTAAAAAAAAAAAAGTCTTAGTCACAGACTAATCCCTAGAAATTAAAACAATAAAATCCAAAATAACAAATTCATCAGAATTAGAAGGTTTAGGAGACAAAATTGTAGATATTTCTGAGACAGTAGGGTAAGAGATTTCAAAAGGAGAAAAAAAATAATTTTTGAAAAAGGCACAAGGGATTGGAGCACAAGATATAACAACCAATTCACAGAAATTAGAAAAATAAAATAGAGGAAAGATAAAGCAAGAGATTAATACACATTTTAATTTCCCCACAACTAAACCACATGAATTTCCAGATTAAAAGTACTCAGTACTAAGTACCAGGCATACTGAATAAAAAAAGACCCATTCCAAGATGCTTCATTGTAATAGTAAGAACAAAAAGAATTAAGGCTTCCTTCCAAAGATGAAAAATATACCACAAAGACCTGGGAATCAAACTGCATAACAGCAAGACTGAAAAGTAGAACATGAGGGAACAGTTTCTCCAAAACTGTTGGAGAAGTAGAAAATAAAAATTAACTTAAAAATAAAAATAAAAATTAACTTAAAAAACATATGCATAAATATGTAGCTATGATTTCATTTTTAAAATAGACATATAAAACACATTCACACATATATTTATAACATATATTTATAACTTTTCAAAGTCATTAGATAATCATCAGACATTAGTCTTGACCATTTTAAGTTAATACATAACATGTCATTATATGATAATTTGCTTATATTCCTCTTTGTTAGACATAAGATTTTTTTCAAATTTTTTGACATTCTTAATAATGCTTATTGTGAACTACATAAATTTTTGTCTATATTTCTAATATCAAATTCCTACAAGCAGAATAAGTTCATGGCTTTGCTCTATACTACTACTTAGCTGTCCTCTAATATTTCTGCCAATTTACATTTGTACCTACATTTACATTTACATTTGTTCATCTCATCACACACTTATGAGCAATAATACAGTATTTTTAACTCTCACAAATTTAACATGTACTTATTTGAATTTCCCTATTAATTATATTCTATTATCTATTTATGACGCTTGATCATTTTTCTTTTGGGGTACTATTTGTATTTGTGTGGTTTTTAATTTTACAAACCTTTTCATAAATGAAGGGTAGGTATCACTTTCTCATATTTATGGTTAAGTGTTTTTTTTTTTTTCTCTTAATTCTTATGTACTCACACTTTTGTTCTTCCTTTTCTTGTACTTGGTCCCTAGAAAGGCTTTCTGCAGCTCAAAGACAGATAAATGTTGACCTAAGTTTTCTTCTCTCTCTTTCTGAGGAGGTAGTATTAAGGTTTTATTGTTAGTAATTATTTTAAGTGACTTAAAAGGGATCCTTTAGCAATACTTCTATAAAAGCATGGGGGGAGGGAGGATCTTCAGGAATACAAAAGCGCCTTAAAATCAAATAATTTTTTATGTATCTTTTAACCATAAATATTTCAACATATAAGCTTCCTTCCTTAAATATCAGAGTTATTATGTGGATTAAAGCACTGTAACACTTCCAGGTATATATGCCAATATAGCTTAAATTTGAAAAGTTTTTACTTACTTGTGGTCATGATGTTAGGAGGGCAAGACGGTATTCCATGATCTACTGCCCATCTGTAGGCTCCTTCTCCAACTAAAAAGCTAACAGAAAAATTACTCTTTTAAAAACTTAGTATCATCTTCTATATATTCAATAAGTATAAATCATATAGTAAGGCAATTGAAAAAATGTCTTGCATATAGATTTAATTCTAGATTTACCTCAAAATTATAATATGGTTTATATGCCCCAAATTTTAAAATCTTCCCCAAGTTAAAAAGTTTACAAATGAAAATGGTACAATTTCATCTGCAATAACCAACAAGTAAAAATGGGCACAATTCAACATGAGAAGGAAAAAAATAGTTGATCTCCCAGTGGAAAATATTAAGATTTACCTTGGATCATCATGGTCACAAGATCCATTTAATCAGGTTAAGAATCAAAGTTTCAGTGAATGTCTTCAGACTTGATATTCTTGCCTACTTTAACAACTAGATGTACGAGTGGGTACATGTAGAGATGCCCCAAAACAATGAGATGTACTTCTATTTGCAAGTCTTGATGAAACAAAAATGTACATATGATCTATATGTATGCCCCTCAGAATCATTTCTACTGTGATTAAGTACTGTGATGTGTGCCAAAAGTAATTTTTAAGCCCTAAACTGCAAGTTTTAACATAATGAAGTAAACAAAAGGATACTGTTAGCTAACTGTAAAACACTTATTTTCAAAGATTTCAAATATCATGTAGGATAATTAACCACTCTATTCTCTAACACAGTAATAGCAAGTAGCTGCCATAATAATCATTCATTCATCTCCTTCCATAGCCAACTTCTTAAAGATCTCAGCCAGCTAGTAATGGGTTTCCTTGAAGTTTTCTGCTCCTTATCTTTTGTTCCTGTTCTTCTAATCATTCTAACACTAAAACTCCAAGTAATACATATTGAAGTCTTCAGATTCATTTGTTAATAAGAAGACCAGTGACAGACTGGCAAAACAAAATCTAAGGAGCCATCCAAAAGCATCCAAATAGTTCTAGTGAGAAAGTAAATAATTAAGTCCAATAACTATTTTCTAATATACATAAAGGTAGGAGGCATTGAAAAAAGAGAGAAGAGAGGGCCAATAAGAATAAACAAGTTTACCCCTTCAAACTTCTATTTTTTTTAATTCTAAAGGATTCTGAAAATTGAAAACAGTTTATCCTATTCCTATATAAAATGAAGACCACTGCAAAGAAAAGCTATCACATAAAGTTCAAATGGAGAATGACAGAAATAGAAACCTGAATAGGAGTTGAGCCATCCTAATGGCATTTTTAGCACTTCCTTCTTCTAGAAAAGGAATGTGATATAATAAGTAACTTCTCTTCATGTGAAGATGTAAAAGACATGCCGAAGTAGCATATTAAATGACCAGAACAGAAGTTTGGAGCTAACGCTAGTATTCTTAGCACGCCCATTGGTCATCTTGGGTCCAATCCCAGTATCTGGAATCAATGGCATTTTACTAAATATTCTTAGTTTTATTTTACATTTCTTAAACAGTCATTGCTTCTAAATTAAATCAATTTGCCATTGGCTGCTATGCAAGTTTTTAAAATAGTTGAGACATTTTACAATATTCACAAGAAGTTGACTATTTGGATGCCATCTTATGGATAAAAATACTGAATAACTGACCTTTTCTTATTATCAAAAACTACCTGTCTAGTAGTTAATCATCACACAAAATGGCATATGCATGCCTTTGAAATCATTTTAAAATTCTGAAAAGCTACATGTTACTAACATGTCAAAAAATCACTTTCTAGAAAATTAAATGCAGTATCAATTCACAGTTCTCTCAATCTTATGACTCTCCAACTAGAAAGCTTTTAGAGAAATTTGCCCCAATCAAGTTGGGAAATCCCATTGACCATACCTTTATAATATATCCAGAATCTGACCACTTCTCACCACCTCTCCTGCTACCACCTTTGTCTGAATCACCATCATCTGTTACCTGGATTGTTCCAATGGACTCATTACTTTCATGTATGCCTTGCTTTGCTCCCTGCCCCAACTATGCTCACCAGCCACTGATGTCCTTGTAATAATAGACAATGACGTTCTTCTCAAAACCTGCAAAATCTCTCATGAGAAATCTAGTGTAAAAACTGGAATCTTCAAGGAGAATCTCAAGTGATCTGACCCGTTCTGCTCCCTCCTTACCTGCCCTATGATTCTTCCTGCCCCCTGGCTTACTCTACTCCAGCCTCCTGTAAAAACACAAATATGTCAAGGGACTTCTAGGCTCAAGGCTTTAACCCTGAATGTTTCTTCTATCAGGTTCTTCCTTATTTCCCAAATGGCAAATTCTCTCATCTGCTCAAATGTCTCCCCTTAATGAGGCCTATTTAAAACTATATCCAACACATTGCATTCCCCTACCCTGGACTCCTAGTCCCTATCATTTTGCTCTGTCATTCTGCGCTGTCATTTTCTTTTTTCTACCTTCTAACATACTAGACACTTCTTTATAATTTACATATTATATCTGTTGTTTACTTCTAACTTCCCCCAAATAAATTGTAAGCTTCATAAGAGTTGGAATCTTTGTTTTGTCATTGACATATCCAAGCATTCACCACAGTGCCTAAAGCATACTAAGCATCAGATAAACACTGGCAAAAAATCAAACAAATAATAAACTAGGGTGTCAAAATTCCTTAAGGAACAGCATTTTCCTTGTGTTATGCCCAATTTAATTAACATTAAAACAAATCTGATATGATGTAAAACAAAAACCAACAACACTCTATACTGAGAGCAGCCCTGAGCTCTGGTGACTGAAACTTTCAACAAACTGCACCCCAAGTGCTTCTGCAAGCACTAACACAGCCAAACTTTCCAAAAAGAGCTCTCTGAGCAAATATGAGATGTGAACTGCAACCTCATGGATGGCAATCATCAATTTTCAAAGAACCATGACTCCATCCATAATCAATCTAAAAATGTGTCATTTTGTGATTCAGAAAGCTCTCAAGAATGTCCAAGGATCCCAAAAATCAAAATACATTATTCTGGATGAGAAAGATACAAGAGAAAATGGGAACTGTTTCTCTAGACTTAAAAACTGATTTCTATTTATTTTACATATTGCTTCTTTGTTCACAATAAATATATAAGATTGAAGAAAGACAAATTACAGACACAAAAAGTACAAATAAAGGAGAACTTGCTGTATCTGGAAATAACATACCAGCCATATTAAATAATAAAAATTTAACTCTTTAAAAAATTTTTAATTTAATTTCAATTTTAATTTAAAAAATGACTTTTTAAAAAGACAGAACCTCAGCATAAGCGATTGACACACAAAAAAAATGAACAATTCTAAAAGATCGTGTATTACAAAATATATCCCATCGATGTTCACATTTCTCTGGCTGTCATAAAATTTTTTCTACTATTGTTATTTTGTTTTTTAAATTATATGTTTGAATGGGAATCCATCTAAATCTATGCCTTCTGATTAGTTTCTTTTAATTGTTCATGTTTTAATAGTCTTTTCACATTCATACAAGAAAAGTAGTACAAATTTGAGTGAATTTATGAAATATAATAGATTAAATAGTACTTTAAAGTAAACAATGTACCAAAAAGTAAATTGGCCTCTGAAAAAAGTCCTAGGGTCTAATGAGCACCTTAGGTTTTATTTATACTAAACATAAAACATTTGTCTAGCTTCCCCTTTTTCATCAAAAGAAACATATTCCAAAAATTATAACTTCTATATTAGGAGTCAGCAAAGTTTTCTATAAAGGGCCAGATAGTAAATAGGTTGGCTTTGTAGCCACAGTGTCTCTTTTGCAACAACTCTCTTTGGCCGTTGTGGTGTACAAGCAGCCATAGACAATGCATACACAAATGGGTATGGCTATGCCCCAGTAAAGCTTTATTTACAAAAGCAAGCAGCAGACCAGATTTGGCCCATCAGCCATAGTTTGCCAACTCCTGTTCTAAATGATAATGCCTATCAAAGCTATACCCTATCGTAACGGAAGAAGAAAGATTCAAGCTATACTTTTATAAATAAAATAAAGAAACTTGGGTAAATATGACATAGTTTATAATGGTAGTCCCACCAAGTTTATGAAGATACTAAATATGCAACAAATCTGAACAAACACCAATATTTAAACAATACAACATATCATGGTGGCTATAACCAAAAACTAAGGTATACAAATAAATGAACTTTTTTTTAAGATTTTATTTATTTATTCATGAGAGACACAGAGAGATAGAGGCAGAAACAGAAGGAGAGGGAGAAGCAGGCTCCATGCAGGGAGCCCAATGTGGGACTTGATCCCGGAACCATGGGATCACACCCTGAGCCAAAGGCAGACACTCAACCACTGAGCCACCCAGGTGCCCCATAAATGAACTTGTTATTTAAAGACTTCAATTAAAAAATTAATTAATTAATAATAAATAATAAATAAATACTTCTTAGAAAAGACACATTATATGTAATGCCTTGCTGTCCCCACACAGTGGTGACAGATGACACCAGAAGACCATGCTTTCTAAGTATTCCATCTGCTTTTGACAGTTTTTGTACCTTTTGCCTGGCATACAGAAAACAAACAATAAATATTTGCTGAGTGAAAGGGAAATGAATTAATAATTAAATGGGCATAAACAGTTACTTCTCATTATTATAAAAGGATTCTATTTTCCCTTTACTTCTAATCTGCTGCTTCTAATGTGATATGAAAGGACTCCAAAATTTCCTAATAGCCTAACAGTGGTCAAGTGTGGGATTCAGTTTCATTATCTGCAAAATGTGTCATAAATCATTGTATGATTTTTATGAGTTAATGCATGCAAACCACATAAAACTGCCTGATTAAGTGTACAAAAGCAGTAACTATTAGCTATTATCATTATAGAAATTATATAACTAGACTTATCATGGTCATATGAAAATAAGCTCAGAGTAAAAACATGATAAAATTGGTTTTGTTGATTTAAAACATTCAAGGAATTTGACTGTTTCTCAGTTACTGCAGTATACAATGAACATCCAGGAATGTGAGAGATTTCTGCTTCTGGACAAGATGGAGTAACAGGGAACAAATTTACACTGGTGCCTGAAGAAATTGTTTTAAAAATCAAATAAAACGTAGGAAACAATAGTTTTCAGATATCAGTAGGCAACATAAGGACAGTGGTCCTTGAGAGAAATGAAATAAACAAGGTAAATCTATGAATGACCCAGCTTACTTCCTAGAGAGGTTCTAGGCCATGACACAGAAAGAATTCAGGCAAAGCCAAGCAGTTTCTCAGTTGAAGAGAAAGAGCTGGGCATCTGGAGAAACCCAGACAGCCAGGATTTACAGGGGACAGCTGCACAGAGAAAGGACTCTGAGATCTGCACAGTTTCCTCTTGTCTTCAGCTGAGTAGAGATAAGTGTATGTGTAATAGGAAATCACCCAAAGCCTGGGAAAGAATACCACAAAAGTTTCAAGCCCCAAGTTCACAAAGGGACAGGAAGAACCCCTGTTCCCATCAAAGTAAGAAATCTCATTCTAGCTCCATCTGTTATTGTACTCAGAAGAGTTCTTACCCAATAGCAAAGCAAAATTAGCTCAAGGCTAAATGTTTCTCTAGCTGCATGTAACAAAGTATAAAGCAAAACCTGAAAGGATGAACCTAAATAATTTAACCACATCCTCCAATAAAGCTCAAGAATATTTGTTAAAATTTAAAAATAGCACCAAATAAGGTAAAACTCACAATGCCTCGAATGCAATAAAAAATTACCAAGCATGCAAATAAATAAGGAAATCCAACCAATAATGAGAAGAGAAATAATTCAATCGAAAACTCAGAAATGACAAAGATGATAGTCAATTAGTAAATGAAGATATTACAGCATTTATTATAACTCTATCCATATGTTCAAGAAGCTACATGAAAGATTAAACATGTTAAGTAAATACACAGAAGACACTTTTTAAAGCTGCAAATCAAATTTCTGAAGGCGTCTACAATGTCAGAGATGAAAAATGAGCTTCATACAATTAACAAATGATTAGATATTGCAGAAAAATAATGAACTTGAAAACAGCGATGGAAATTATTCAAAATGAAACAGAAAAATAAATGGAAAAAACTATTTATCAATGATCTGTAGGACTATAAGAGGTCAAATACATATGCAACTGGAGTCCTAAAAATATTATCTTTAGAAATAATAGTCAAAATTTTTCCAAATTTGATAAAGTATATTTCCCTACATATCCAAGATGCAAAATAAACCCAAACCAGAAACATTAAGAAAAGAAAAAACAGAACAATATATCTCATAAGTTATGAGATACAAAAATTCTTTATAAAATCTTAGCAAGTTGGATCCACCAATATATCAAAAGGATAATAAATTATGGTCAAGTGGAATTAATCCCAAAAATGTAATTGTTACTGTAACAGCTGAAAATCAACCCATCACTGACTAAATAAGAAAAATTGTAAGATCATCTTAATAGACGATAAAAAAGTATTTGAGAAAGTACAACACCCATCCCTATTAAAAACTCTCAGAACACAAGAAGGAGACTTTCTTAGCATAATAAAGAACATTTATGATAAACCTACAGCAACCATCATACTTAAGGGTAAAAGACCAAATGCTTCCACCCTAAGATCACAAACAAGGCACGATGCCCACTCTCACATTTCTTTTTTTTTTTTTTCTCTCTCACATTTCTATTCCATATAGCACTGGAGGTCCTAGCCACTGCAACAAAGAAAAGGAAATTAATTAAATGAACCCAGGTTAGAGAGGAAGAAATAAAACAATCTTTATTCTCAGGAGACATTACTGTCTATGTAGAAAATCTTATCAAATCTATAAAAATAATAGTATAAAACAAATAAATTTAGCAAATTCTCAGGAAAGAGTATCAATGTAATAAAATCAATCATATCTCTATATTGGCAAGAAACAACTGGAAATTAACCTGCTTGGCTCAGTCAGAGGAGCATGCAACTCTTGATCTTGGGGTCATGAGTTCGAGCTTAAGCTAGGTGCAGAGATTGCTTAAAATCAATCAATCAAGAAATAAACATTAAAAAAAATTTTAAATAAAAAATGTTATAAGAAAAAAAACTATCAATTATTAGAGCTGGATGCCAGGTTTATGAGAGCTCTTTACAATGTTCTCTCTACAATTATAAATACTTGAAAAGTCCAAAGTTTTTTAATGAAAATTATATGTTAATGCTGGAGAAAAGATGTAATCTGACTAATCTTAACATCATAATGTGTTTCTCCAGAAGAGAAAAATTAAGTACTTTTATTCTAAAATCATCTCAAAATTAAAATTAGTTTGGACTCTGGACTTTTAAAAGTTTCATAATAAAAGATCCCAATTGTGCACTTAGTAACAGCAAAAAAAATCTCTGTAATCAACTACAAAACCAAAAATTAATTCTGATCTCCTTTCTGCTTTAATCTGTAATATTCAATTGCATCCAAAGTTCTGTCAAGTGTACAAAATGTTCCAAGATTAGAGAATAAAGTGTGTCTTCCTCTCAAAGGCAAGCTACTGCTGGTGTGTAACCAACAGCATCAGCCTTCTGTGGATAAAAACAGCCTTCAAACACCACATGCACCAAAGACCAAAGACCCAGGGAAAGTCAGGCAGAACAAAGCGGTTACCAGGGAGGAATTCGGCCAGCAGAGAGCTTGCCCTTCTGCCCTTCACACAAGAGTCTGTTTGCAACTGAGACTGGATTCTTGATTCCTATAAAGCAAAATTGGCAGAAAATGAAGTCAGAAAAATACCTTCAAGTTTCCCACTCAGCTTTGTGGCTGTTTCAATAAAACAACTTTTAAATACCTTAGAAAACTCTTATGTGTACTAATGAAAACCCTTAATTATTATGAACAATAAGGATCAATAAATAAATGAATCAACAAATAATCAACAAATAAATGAATACCTAGGGGATACAAGAAAGAATATAAAACATACATTCTCATGATTTGTCAGGTGCTGCAGCTTAATAGATACTGAAATTAGGTTTCTTGTTAACAGATTTCAGAATAGAATTTAAAAAATAAACTGAAAAAAAATAATAAAAATAAAAAATAAATAAAAAATAAACTGAAAGTATGGCATCTACCTTCAAAAAGTGAATTTCTTCCAAAGAATCAACATGATTACAAACAGCTGCATACCCACCTTCATATTTACCTTCATACGGTAGGGAGAAGAGGCCAAGTATGTACAAGATTGTAACCTAAAATATGGTTCAGACTGTTTCCAGAAGGGAAAATATAATGTGAAGAAAAGTGAAAGAGGATGCTTCTCTGGGAGGAATGATAGGACAGTAAGTATTAGTGTGAAAAACACTATCATGATGACAATGATGGCAAATATGACAATGTGATGAAGACAGTGACAGTAACTCAGTATCTACCATATGCCAAGCCCAGTACCAAACCCTTCAACACAGCAAGTATATTTCATTGATCTCTCAACTCTATAAGTATATTTATGAATGTTGATTACTGAGGGAATATTTGCACAAAGCATTAAGTCACCTACCCACGATCACAGTGCTAAGATTTTAAGAGAAGCAGCTAATGTCAGAGACCACATCCTAAACCACTAACCAATGAATGCCTCTCAGGACACCAGTACATACATACATACATACATACATTCATAAATAAATAAATAAATAAATCAGCAGTGGGACATAAAAAGACTATAAAAAATCAAATTAAAGTCACCATATTTACTCAAAACAAAACTATTTAGCTAAACAACAAAAATGTGCCACCAAAAAAAAAAAAAAAAAACGATGAAATGCCAAATAAAGAAAAAGCTCAGCTCTCTGTACTAGCTCTTAAAATATACCTCTGTATATGCTGATTCAATGTAGACTTTAATAATTGTCAAATTAAGTTATAAATTCAAATCTACAAAATCTCCATCAAAACTTCAAAAGGACTTCTATGATGTATGACAAGCTGACTCTTAAACTTCTCCGTTTAACTGGGAAAAAATGAAGAGGTATTCACCCTTCAAGATACCACTCTTATTAAAAACTATTCTTAATTAAAAGAGTGTGGTTTGGGGACACCTGGGTGGTTCAGTGGTAGAGTGTCTGCCTTTGACTCAGGGCATGATCCTGGAGCCCCAGGATCAAGAGCCACATCGGGCTCTCTGCATGGAACCTGCTTTTCTACCTTCTTCCTATGTCTCTGCCTCTCTCTCTCTCTCTCTCTCTCTCTCTCTCTGTCTTTCATGAATGAATAAATAAAATATATTTTAAAAGAAGAGAGTGTGGTTTGAATACAAATTAACAAATACATCAATGGAACAGAAAAAAAGCTGAAGTTCAGACACACACACAAGCATTTGAATATTTAATACATGATACAATATTTCAAACAAGTAGGAAAAGATAGACTCCATGTGAAAAGTAGAAGGAACACAGAGTAACAGGAGTTAGACTGTTTTATAACTGTAACCATTATCTGTTGCTTCTCAGCGAAATTCTCCCTTCATTGCCTGATCTGTGAAAATGGATATGGGCCCTTTAAATAGGTTTCCTTTGCCAGTTGGCACACTGATAGCTTTGTCAGTAGAGGGCACCGAAGAAACACTCTAGGAGGAAACTTTTTACTAGCCAGGCAAGTGGAGAGCATCATTTTCTTTCTTTCTTTTTTTTTTTTTTTTTTTTTTAGGATAGTCACACAGAGAGAGAGAGAGAGAGAGAGAGAGAGAGAGAGAGAGAGAGAGAGAGAGGCAGAGACATAGGCAGAGGGAGAAGCAGGCTCCATGCACCGGGAGCCCGACGTGGGATTCGATCACGGGTCTCCAGGATCGCGCCCTGGGCCAAAGGCAGGCGCCAAACCACTGCGCCACCCAGGGATCCCGAGAGCATCAGTTTCTTCACTATTTGGCCCACATGGTATTCCCCAGTGCTAAGTGCCTGCAGGGTGCAGCTTTCTCCAGCATTTGGCCACCACATGTTTTCCCTAGATCCTGAATCAGACTATAGCAGCACAGATGACAGTCCCAGAAAGAACAGGAAGGACTGTGCCCAGTTCAAGTCACAAACCTTCTTGGCCTCATAGGCACAAATAGCAAAGTTTCCCGTGGGTAAATGGCTGCCTGGTAAGCCAAAAGCCCAATCTTTATCCTGTGGAACAGAGGTTCAATTCCCATAGTTTCCTCACCCCTGTGTAAGCACCTACCTGTCTGAACTCACCTGTGCCCCATAGGATTGTCCCTGGTATCACAGTGACCGTGGCCTGGGTAACACAGCAACTTCTCTACTAGGCAGTAGCTACAACCACACCTTCTTCAATGAGATCTGAATCTCCCTCCAAGTTTATCCATACTTGGGTGTTCTCCCTCTGCCCTAGAATACATTTTGAGTTCCCTTTCTACCTTTGTATAGTTACTGTCCTATCACTGGTTTAATAGTTCTTTATCTTGGGATCCCTGGGTGGCGCAACGGTTTGGCGCCTGCCTTTGGCCCAGGGCGCGATCCTGGAGACCCAGGATCGAATCCCACGTTGGGCTCCCGGTGCATGGAGCCTGCTTCTCCCTCTGCCTGTGTCTCTGCCTCTCTCTCTCTCTCTCTCTCTCTCTCTCTCTCTCTCATTATCATAAATAAATAAAAATTTAAAAAAAAATAGTTCTTTATCTTAAACTTCCCCTATTAAATCTACTATCTAGTTTTTCTCCTAGTTGGACCCAGCCTGATACAGTAACCTTGGGCAAATTACTAAATCTCTTCTGTATTTCAGTTTCCTTATCTGTGAAATAGGGATAAAAAAAAGTAGTGTCCTCATCGAAGGGGAGGTTGGTGGGGGTTGGGGTAACTGGGTGATGGGCAACGAGGAGGGCACTTGATGGGATGAGCACTGGTTGTTATACTATATGTTGGCAAATTGAATTTAAATATAAAAAAAAAATGTGATGGGATGCCTAGATGGCTCAGAGGTTAAGTGTCTGCCTTTGGCTCAGGGAGTGATCCCAGTCTGGGATCCATCCCCCATTGGGCTCCCTGAGGGTAGCCTGCTTCTCCCTCTGCCTGTGTCTCTGCTACTCTCTCTCTCTCTCTCTCTCTCTCTCTCTCCTCTATGTGTGTGTGTGTGTGTGTGTGTGTCTCATGAATAAATAAAATATTTAAAAATAAATAAATAAATAAATGAATAAATAAATAAATAAAATGTGAAAAAAAGTGGTGTCCTCAAAAGGTAATTATGAGAACTAATGACAGAACACATATAAACTACTGGAGAATATATTGGTATGTAACAATCACCCAATAAATGGTAGTCATTATTATGGCTATTATTCAACGTCATATAGGGACAATTTTTCCATTATTTCAGAAAAAACAATGTATTAAAGAAGTAAATGGGGATCCCTGGGTGGCGCAGCAGTTTGGCGCCTGCCTTTGGCCCAGGGCGCGATCCTGGAGATCCGGGATCGAATCCCACGTCGGGCTCCCAGTGCATGGAGCCTGCTTCTCCCTCTGCCTGTGTCTCTGCCTCTCTCTCTCTCTGCCTCTCTCTCTCTCTCTCTCTCTCTCTCTCTCTCTCTCTCTCTATCATAAATAAATTTTTTAAAAAATTTTAAAAAATTTTTAAAAAATAAATAAGTAAATGAAAAATAAATTATAAGTGTACTAGAAGAAAATACAGGTGAGTATACTTATAATTATGAGGGAAACCTTAAGAAATGCAAAATACAAAAGCCATAAAAGAACAAGTAATAAGTTTGACAAATAATAATTTTAAATTCTAATACAATAAGGCACATTATAAATAAAGTTAAAAGGCAAGCAATGGGAATTCTGTCAAACATTTAAAGAAGAAACAATACCTATTCTACTAAAGCTGTTCGGAAAGATAGAAAGAGATGGAATACTTCCAAACTTGTTCTATGAGGCCAGCATCACCTTAATTCCAAAACCAGATAAAAACCCCACCAAAAAGGAGAATTATAGACCAATATCCCTGATGAACATGGATGCAAAACTTCTCAACAAGATACTAGCCAATAGGATCCAACAATACATTAAGAAGATGATTCACCATGACCAAGTGGGATTTATCCCCGGGGTGCAAGGCTGGTTCAACACTCGTAAAACAATCAACGTGATAGATCATATCAACAAGAGCCATATCTCAATAGATGCAGAGAAAGCATTTGACAAAATACAGCATCCATTCCTGATCAAAACTCTTCAGAGTGTAGGGACAGAGGGAATATTCCTCAACATCTTAAAAGCCATCTACAAAAAGCCCACAGCAAATATCATCCTCAATGGGGAAACACTAGGAGCCTTTCCCCTAAGATCAGGAATAAGACAGGGATGTCCACTCTCACCACTGCTATTCAACATAGTACTGGAAGTCCTAGCCTCAGCAATCAGACAACAAAAAGAAATAAAAGGCATTCAAATGGGCAAAGAAGAGGTCAAACTCTCCTTCTTCGCCGATGACATGATACTCTACATAGAAAACCCAAAAGACTCCACCCCAAGATTGCTAGAACTCATAGAGCAATTTGGCAGTGTGGCAGGATACAAAATCAATGCCCAGAAGTCAGTGGCATTTCTATTCACTAACAATGAGACTGAAGAAAGAGAAATTAAGGAGTCAATCCCATTTACAATTGCACCCAAAAGCATAAGATACCTAGAAATAAACCTAACCAAAGAGGTAAAGGATCTATACCCTAAAACCTACAGAACACTTCTGAAAGAAATT